CAGACGCCAGCGTTCGGGCGAGAGCGCAAAAGCAACAGCAGCGGAGGAGGGCGGAACGGTGGGAGTACCACCGTGGGACCCACCGTGGGAGCTGGACTGACCTGCTGCCTCTTCAGACGGGTCGACCTCGACTGAGGGGGTCTCAACATTGTCATCCGCGACTTCGCTCTTGGGCGGACCTAGGTCAGACGAATTACTTGGAGCACCCCTCTGCACAACCGAGGCTTCACCAGACGCAAGAGCAGCGGCACTAGCCACCTCTGGCACTCCGTCGGGGGGGGAGCGAGGCCGAGGAAGAGAAGGGAGGACGGAGGGGCTCAACAAAATTGGGCTCGTCGGCCCAAGGATCCACCTCATCGCCCCCGAAAACCTACATGGCACCCCCCCCAGGTTTCGGGGTCGGCGAGAGGCTCAACAGCCGAAGGCTCAACTAAATCCCCTGGCGCCTGGGCGGGCTGCGTCGACGGAAGAGCAAAAGCTACCTGTGAGTCAGCCAGCAAATCCCCAAACAACTGAGACGAGCGCTCCAAATGCTTTTCACGGGCAAGACTCTGGCGCAACACATTGGCTCGCCGCGCCCGGGAAGACTTCGACCCTGGGGCCTCCTGCTGCTGTGGCCGACACACCTGAGCCAGACGCTGAGGCAAGATGAGCGAACGCGTAATTAATTGCTCACCTGCCCCTCTCACTTGCAAAACTAACCCACAGTGCGGCTTCCAAGGAACGTCCTGGATGGCCTGGATTCCCAAGACACAAGGCGCCGCAGTTCTAGAAACTAACGCGAAATCTATGTGAGACGAGCCACAGGCCCCCACGCACGCGTGCTCAACGGGAGCCTGCAGCACCGACGCCCCTATTTTGGACAGAAAGCCCGAACGCTGGATCTCCGAAGAGGGTAAATTGAAATCGCCCAAGACAACCCATGGGAGTTGAAGGGCCTGCAAAAGCGTGCCGAGCCGAGCGAATCTAGCTAAGTTTTCTGCACGCAGACCAAGACTACACCTACCGTAGAAGATCACGATCACAATACTGCATCCCTGCTGGTGGACAACAACTGGCAAGAACCCGTCCAACTGCTTTTGCCCCTCCACATACAACTCGGCAGAACGACCGCTGCATAGTCCGTGTACCTGTCTATGACCCTGCGAGATGAACATCTCTCCCCCCTCAGTCGCTCTGAGCTTACCTGATTCCGTACGGCAACGAGTCCCCGTTGCCCTAGCAGCATTAGAGAGAAGCCTAAGCTTGCGTTGTCGAGCTAACTTTGTCCACTCGTTGGCCGCAGCCACCCCTGCATGCGTTTCGCACAGCGCCAAGTGTTGAAAGGCCTGACTCTGAGCAAGGTGTATCACGTAGCCCCAAGACTTGCGACCCAACATCGTGAGATTCGAGAAAAAATCTGAACCACTTCGCTGTCCCCAGGCGCTGCAGAGTGGCCAGATGTGCTGCCACCGCTGCCCCCCGTCGCGCCACTGACACCTAGCTGAGGCTGCTCAGCTCCTGACGCAGCAGGCGCTCCAGAGGCCGTAGCGGCCACTCCCGAGGTCGAAGAACCCCGAGGCGAACCCGAAATTGAGGCACCTGAAAAAGACGCCGACGAGCACCGCGACGTCGTAGCATGTCCCCCTGCGCCCTCGGCGCAAGGTTCGACACCAGCCACAGGCGACGCTGGCTGTGCCACTGCATCGGCCCCCGCCGCCTCGCACCACCCAGGCTGAGGCGCTGCGGAGGTCGCTCCTCCTCATGCGCCTGCGCCGCTCCCAGCACCACGCCCGCCGCCCTTGGCCGCTGCAGCCTGCGCTGCCTGGGCCGCCTGGTTGGCGGTCGCCGCCGCCGCCTGCGCCGCCGCCGCCTTGGCGCTGCGGATCCGCTCGACCTCCTCGTCGATCCGCTGCTGCACTGCCTCAGGCGACTCGCCGTCAGCTGCCGTGGGCGGCGCGCCTGGCGGGGCTTCGGCGGGGGCCTCAGCGGACGGCTGCTGCGTCGCGCCCTGCACGTTGCCGTCCAGGCCCTTGCGCTTCTTCCCCATCCGCTCCGAGAGCTGCTGCTTGAGTGCCTCCATGCGCGAGTGCCACTCGCGCACCTTGTCGCCCTTCTCGCCAAAGACACCCGTGGCGGCAATGAGGTCCTTCTCCAACTGCATCAATTCCTGCTTCTCGCCGTCCTCGCATTCAAGGGTGCCGTCCTTGAGCGAAGTGAAGAAACTCTCATCCCAGACTACATCGAAACATAAGCCACTCTTGTCTGGGCCCGTCTTCCCGGGCGACTGCGACTTGCCAGGCTCATGCATGCCTGCCTCAGCCGCCAAGGCCCGTACGGCCGTCCTCTTGGCGACCTCGGCCTGCGCCAAGATCCTGACGGTCTCCTCCTCACGCTGCTGCGCCTGCGCCAACTGCTCCTTGGCCCTCGCAACGGCCTTCACCGCCGCGTCGTGCTTCGCATTGGCGTCGCGCCACGCGGCCTCCGCCCGCCTGTGGGCCTCGCCCGCCGAGATGGCTGGCTTGGCCGTGGGCGGGGCCTGCTGCGCCAGCGCCGCCTGGAGGGCCAGCTTGAGCGCGGGGTCCTGCGCCACCTGGATCGCCTGCTGCAAGATCGCCGCGGAATCCTGCGAGGACACTCCCTTAGATGGTTACGGTGGCAGCCCAAGCCAAAGCTCAGTCTGCTCCTTCCCCTTGCCTTTGGCAGCCTTCTTCCTGCTCGGGCTGTGGAGCTCGAGAGTAACTCCACATTTGCATCTACAGTTGCGCTGCACCAAAATCGAGTTCCACTCGCAGGTCGAGCGCGAAGGACAACGCGTATATGCACCTGCTCCCTTGGCCATCGTCGGTACAGCACTCCCGTGATGACTCTCCAGGCGGGCGATGTCCACTGCGTGCCTCAGACGCTGCCGAGACTCCGCCCTGCGTCGCCGCTCTCGGCGATGCCACGCGGGCGAGCGAGATCGCGGCTGCTCGCTCGTCCCGCTGCTGCGCCCCTCTCACGGGGCTGGGGTCGTGGTCACTCGGGCTGCTTCCCAAAATGGGCGCCTCGGACCACAACGCCTTGGAGGAGGAGGAGGAGGAGGAGGAGGAGGAGGAGGAAGAGGAGGAGGAGGAGGGGGAGAAGGAGGAGGAGGAGGAGGAGGAGGAGGAGGAGGAGGGGGAGGAGGAGGAGGAGGAGGAGGGGGGGAGGAGGAGGAGGAGGAGGAGGAGGAGGAGGAGGGGAGGGGGAGGAGGGGGAGGGGGAGGAGCCAGGGGAGAGAGGGCAAGGACAGGGGACGGCAGGGCGGGCGAGCGGCAGCAGCAGCGGCAGCCGCAGCGGCGGCTGCAGCGGCGGCAGCGGCTGCGACCGCGGGCGCAGGCTTCCCAGGGCTGGAGCTAAACAGTGAACCCGCACAGTTAAGGATGCGAGATAAGGATGCAGGGGCCTTGGACGCCCATTTCGAAGCTGTCCGAGCGGGGCGCGGCCAACGAAAGTGGCCAAGGATGGGCCGAGGAGGCAAGGACGTAAGGGTAGCCTTGGGAAGGTTGCCCATCCTTACTACGCGGGTTGACTGTAGACAGTGCTGTCCCTGTTCGTCGTGTTTTCGTGCTCCTCCGTTCCGCCTTCGCTCCGCCCCTGCTGCGAAACGAAATCAAGACGGAAACAATCCACGAGATCGCCAAGACACCGTTTAGCTCGAGGACTGACTTGTCCTAGACGAAGAAGAAAGATCTGCATAAACGGAAACTCGTGGGGGGGGCATCCAACTCGCGGGACGCAGTGGCCCGGCTGGCGCCCCGAGTCCAGGCGGCGCGCGGAGCAGAACTGAGCAAAGGGGCGGAGGAATGGAGGGACTCAGGCAACACCTTGGTGAAGCAAAGCGGTAACAGTTCGCAATGAGGACATTCGGAACGAACTACCCTCGACAAAATGAACCTCAAAAACGTGTCTTGCAGTTTCCTTGTCGATGTGATGTCCTGGGCTTGAGTGGCATTGCGCGCAGATTACATGTTGGAGCCGCCTCTCCAATGTCGGTCGTCGTGGAACGTTCAAGTCGCACCACCCCAGACCGCCCTCCGCTCTGTTTCGACATGGAGGGGGGCCACGTTGCGAATCGCCTCAAGGTGAGAAGGGGCGACATTGAAGTGGTGCGTCAACCACTCTTGAAGTGAATTGTGTCCAGGGCTGCAGAAGAAGAAAAAAGCTGCATGTAAAATGATACTTCAGAGGTCCGCGCGGGTTTTGTGGATCAGCGCTGGGCCGCAACAGGCCACGCAAGAGCAGCCTCTGCTGTCGGGGAGGGGGAAGGAGGGGGGGGGCCCGCGGCCTCTGAATCCCACCACGGCGTGGCTTGCACGGTAACGCGAAGCAGAAGATCGCAAGGCAGACGATGATGGCTACACGAGCAGACCTGCCACTGGCAAGCTCCTGCGGTAAAACGTAGCCTGGGGGGAAGGGAAAGGACGGCAGGAGCGAGAAAGGTCAGAGGGCCAGGAGGAAGCGCAAGAGGAGACAACACACACACACACTTCTTGGCGTCGAGGCCCTGCGCGCAGCGACAGGCCGGAGAAGGTCTAAAAGCAGGAAGCGCGCGGAAACTAGAAACGCCCGAGCCCTCAAAGACCGCTTCGGATCTCGCAGCCGCCACCAGCCATGAGCCATGCGAGCGTGGATGGCAGAGGGGACGGTGGGTAGACGAGGCTACGGTGCGGTAGGGGGTGCCATATGCCATCTGGGACTGGAAGGCGGGGGGAGCGAGCAAGCGGAATGGAGCGACCAGGAGAACGAGGCCGACCTGGAAGCCCACCACGAGCCTACGAGGCACACACACACACACACAGACACGCACGCACGCACGCACGCACGCACGCACGCACGCACGCACGCACGCACGCACGCACGCACGCGCACACACACACACACACACACACACACACACACACACACACACACACACACACGCGCGCGCGCGCACACATGCACACATGCACACACACACACACGCACACACACACACACACACACACACACGGAGCCGCCTGCATGCGAGCCAACTCGATGAGCTCGTTCTTCCTGGTATTGTACATGGTCTCCGCGCCTCCCTCCGTCCCTGTTGGCCACCTCCTCATCCTCCCCCTCCTCCTCCTCCGCCGCCTCCTCCTCATCCTCCTCTTCCTCATCCTCCTCCTCCTCCTCCGCCTCCTCCTCCTCCTCCTCCTCCCCTCCTCCTCCTCCTCCTCATCCTCATCCTCCTCATCCTCCTCATCCTCCATCCTCCTCCTCCTCCGCCTCTGCCTGTCCCTCTCATCCTCCTCTTCCTCCTCCCTTCCTCCCTCCCTCATCCCTCCTTCTCCTCCCTCCCTTCCTCTCCCTCTATCCTCTCCTCCTCCCTCCCCCCCACCCGCCCTCCTTCCCTTCCTCCCCCGCCCCTCATCCGCCTCATCTCCTCCTCCGGGTCCTCCTCCTCCTCCTCCTCCTCCTCCTCATCCTCATCCTCCTCCTCATCCTCATCCTCATCCTCATCATCATCACCATCAGCATCATCAGCAGCATCAGCATCAGCATCAGCATCGTCATCATCCTCAGCATTATCCTCATCAGCATCCTCATCATCATCCTCATCCGCATCAGTACCATCATCATCACCAGCAGCAGCATCATCACCATCATCATGGTCATCAGCTTACTCCTCATCTTACTCATCATCAGCATCATCATCAGCATCAGCAGCATCAGCACCAGCATCATCGTCAGCATCATCGTCATCAACAGTATCAGCATCATCATTATCATCATCGTCATCATCAGCAGCAACATCACAAGCAACATCATCATCATCATCACCATCAGCATCATCATTAGCATTGTCATCATCAGCAGCATCAGCATCATCAGCATCATCAGCATCCTCAGCATCCTCATCAGCATCATCAGCATCCAGCCATTAATCCATCCACCCGTCCATCCATCCATACATACGTACATCCATCCACCCTTCCAGTCATACATCCTCCTAGTACTCCGCATCCTCATCCTCATCATCCTCATCATCCTCATTCTCTTATTCTTCCTCCTCATCCTGCTCCTCCTCATCCTGCTCCACATCCTCATCCTCATCATCATCGCCACCACCATCATCATCAGCAGCAGCAACCTAATCAGCATCATCATCAGCATCAGTACATCACCATCACCATCATCATCATCATCATCATCATCATGATCATCATCATCATCAACATCATCATCACCTGTCCTCCCAGTACTCCTCCTCATCCTCCTCCCCCGCCGCCTCCTTCTCTTCCGCCTCCTCCTCCGCCTCCTCCTCATCCGCGGTTTCTTCTTCGTCTTCGTAATAGTGTTGTATGATTGTGATTCGTCGTGGTTGGCTTCTTCTTATGCTTCATCTGATTAGTCTTCCGCTTGTTCCCAATAGTGTTAGTATCGTTCGTCGTTGTCTCCCTATTATTATTGTTCGTGTTAGTAGTACTCGCGTTATCCGTCTTACTACTATTCCTACCCGTGTTCGGAGTATTCGTCATGCTCTTCTTGGTAGTATTAGCATTAGTATTCGTATTAGTGGCATTCGTATCATTATGCGTGTTCTTATTATGCGTAGTCGTACGCGTAGTAGTCGTCTTAGTCTTGTTCGTACTCGTCTTAGTAGTAATGGTCTGTTTAGTCGTAGTCGTATTCTTCTTCGTAGTAGTATCATTACCATTATTCTCTATACTAGGATTAGCATTGCTAGTACTCGTATTAATAATGTTAGTAGTATGCGTATTTGTCAACTTCGTCGTATTGGCATTAGTAGTATCTGAACGAATATCAATAGCATTATGAGTACGAGTTGTGTTTTTAATGGTTACAAGAGCTGGCGTAGCATTGGCAATATATTGTTGATAGTATTACGAGGTGGATTGGTAACAGCATTGTTAATAGTATTATTACTAATTCAGAATATAACTTGTAGCACTTCTTTGATTCGTAATGATGGTATTCGTTTGTTTCGTCTGGTTATTCTTTTTCTGACTAGTATGAGTAGTACCTGCGTTCTTACCGTAAAATTATCAGTGTTAGTCTTGTTGTTCCACTTCCTTGTCTTCGTCCTCTTCCTCTTCCTCTTCTTCCTCCTCCTCCTCATCCTCCTCCTCATCCTCCTCCTCCCTCCTCCCCTCCCTCCCTCCCGCCCTCCCGCCCTCCCGCCCTCCCTCCCTCCCCTCCCTCAATCCTCCTCCTCCTCCTGCTCCTCCTCCTCATCCTTCTCATCCTCCTCCTACTCCACTTCCGCCTCGTACTCGTCCTCGCCTTCCTCCTACTCATCCTCCACCTCCTCCTCCTGCTCGTCCTCATCCTCCTCCTCGTCATTGTCCTCCTCCTCCTCGTCCACTTCCTCGTCCTCCCACATCCTCCTCCTCGTCCTCCTCCTCCTCCTCCTCCTCCTCCTCCTCCTCCTCCCCCTAATCCTCACAGCCACCATCACCACCATCAGCATTCATCAACATCGTCATCATCATCACCACCACCACCACCATACCTATCACGAGCACAGTAATCATGATCCACCGCCGACTCCCCGCGCTGGGGGCCGTGGCCGCCCTGCGCGGCTGGGGCTCGAGAGCGCGGCGCCCTCTCAACCCCGGCCCGCAGGCTCTGGTCAACTTCCGACGTCGTCGAGGGGCTCCGCTCCCCCGTGGGGCCGCCGTTCCAGAGGGGCCCTGGCGCTGGTGTCGGTGTTCCGATGTTGCCGGGAACGTCACGCCGGCACCAGCACCAAAACCCCACTGGAAAAGTGAAGGGTCGTGTCCCTGCGGGAGCAGAGCGGCCCAGCGGAGCCCGCAAAGCCTGAGGTGGCTCGCACTGCTCGCCGAGTTCACGAGCCATAGAATTCGCATGTTTTGCAAAAACAAACAAAACCCAATGGCGCCCCTGAGGCCTATGGGGTCGCCATGGTCTGCGGGGCTCGCAAGGCCCATGAACCCGACGCGGCCCTGACGGCCCAGGGGGCCTATAGAGCCCGCGCGGCTCGCCGGGGTCGCGCGGCGCAGTGGACACATGCGCAATGCGGCGCCCATGTGGCCCAGGAAACCTTCCTGGGACTTGTGGGGTTCATGGGGCTGGCGAGCTTCGCACGGCCCATTGGCCTCGCGCGGCCCACGGGAATCCTAAAGTTCATTCGAAGAAATGGAGAAGGCCCGCTTTGCTGCTGCGCGCGCAGAGCTGGCATTCATCAACGCCTAACACGAGAGCCAGAAAACACCGGCGACGGTATTCAACAAAAGCTCTGAAATTTTCCTCAAGAAAAGATATTGGCGTTGGTGTCGGGTTCCAGTGCACAGGCCTTCTGGCAGGACTTCAGCATCAGCATCAGCATCAACATCAGCATCAGCATCATCATCATCATCATCATCATCAGCAGCAGCAGCAGCAGCAGCAGCAGCAGCTGCATCAGCGTCATCATCAGCATCAGCATCGTCATCATCAGCAGCAGCATAATCAGCATCGTCATCTTCACTATCATCATCATCATCATCATCATCATCATCATCATCATCATCATCAGCAGCATCATCCTCATCCTCATCCTCATCCTCATCATCATCAGCAGCAGCATCATCAGCATCATCATGATAATCATCATCATCATCATCATCATCACTGTCATCATCATCATCATCATCATCATCATCATCATCATCATCATCATCATCATCATCATCATCGTCGTAATCATCATCATCATCATCATCATCAGCAGCAGCAGCGTCATCATCAGCATCATCACCATCAGCAGCAGCATCATCATCGTCAGCATCATCATCATAATCAACATCATCATCGTCGTCATCATCGTCATCATCATCATCGTCGTAATCATCATCATCAGCAGCAGCATCAGCATCATGGGCATCCTCATCATCATCAGCATCATCAGCCTCAGCATCATCATCAGCAGCATCAGCATCATGATCATCATCATCATCAGCAGCATCACCATCATCATCGTCAGGAGCAGCAGCATCAGCATCATCATCATCAGCATCATCGTCGTCGCCATCATCATCGGCATCACCATCATCATCATCACCATCATCATCAGCATCATCATCGTATAATCATCATCATCATCAGCAGCATCAGCATTATGGGCATCCTCATCATCATCATAATCATCAGCGTCGGCATCGTCATCATCATCATCAGCCTCAGCATCATCATCAACCACATCAGCATCAGCATCATCATCGTCAGCATCATCATCATCATCAGCCTCAGCATGATCGTCAGCAGCAGCATCACCATCACCATCATCAGTGTCACCATCATCATCATCATCATCATCATCAGCATCATCATCAGCAGCATCATTATCAGTATCATCATCAGCATCATCAGCATCAGCAGCAGCATCAGCATCATTATCAGCATCATCGTCGTCGCCATCATCATCGGCATCACCATCATCATCATCATCATCATCATCAGCATCAGCATCGTAATCATCATCATCATCAGGATCAGAATCATCAAGATCAGCATCATCATCAGCACCATCACCATCAGCATCATCATTATCATCAGCATCATCAGCATCATCATAAGCGTCATCAGCATCATCATCACCATCAGCAGCAGCATCATCATCGTCAGCATCATCGTCATCATCATCATCATCCGCATCAGCATCATCACCATCATATCAGCTTCCGCTTCATCAACCGCAGCATCAGCAGCATCGCCATCACCATCATTATCATTATCATCAGCAGCAGCATCATTACAAGCATCATCAGCGTCAGCATCACCATCAACATCGTCACCACCATCAGCATCAGCATCATCGCCATCACCATCAGCATCATCATCAAAATCGTCATCAGTATCGTCGTCATCAGCATGATCAGCGTCATCATCAGCAGCAGCATCATCGCCATCAACGGCGACAAAGACAACAGCAACAACAACAACAGCAACAACCACAATGCATCATCAGCATCGTCATCACTAGCATCATAAACAAGAGCATCGTCAACATGAT